CTGCGTTTCCGGCAATAATGCTCCAATGCTTGCACCCAGTCTCTGAGCTCTGTCAGACAGTCCCTCACTCCCGCTGTGGACATAAAGAGGGCGCCCTTCCCCAGGAAACAGCTCCCTGTTTCCCACACACACCTGACATCAAATTTGCCACCAAACCTCTCTTCGGGCTCCAACAGGCAGAGGGACAAAACTAGGAGAATCACAAACCAAGATCAGTCTCCACCCCCGCAGTCCCGAACCGGATGACACAGTGCAACCCCTTGACCCTCTGTGTCAGACTCCTCTGCTAGTAAAAGGAGACGGGATGCCATTCATATCTTACAGCAGCCGTGACGACTGGACCCGAGGTTATGCACTCATGCCTACGCAAAACGCACGGCGGAGAGCTGCATTCCAGTGCCCTTTGCTCCCTTGAATACAGGAAGCATCACACAGTGCCGAGATTCTGTCTACACTGCCTCTCACCCCAAGAACAGGGGCTGCTGCACCCTGAGATCCTTCCATATGGGACCTGGCAGAGCTAGCGCTCTGGCACTACATGCACGAAAGGGCCAGGACCTCCAGGCACTGGACCCCCAGCAGCGAGGCTGCTGGATGCCTCCGGGGACCGGGGGTTAACGGAACTAAGTGTGGCTGGCAGAGGGGCACTGAGAACTCCCAGTCTGAGGGCTGCTGCCACGTGAACACGTGGCCAGGTGTTACCAGGTCATTGTTTTTTTTCTCCCCGAGAATCCAGATATCCGGATTTGGGAGTAAAGCCTTGCAACTTTTAGACGCTAACAACGGAAGGAAGGAAGGAAGGAAGGAGGGAGGGAGGGAGGGAGAAAAAAAGAAAAACCTTAAGGCGAACAGCCCAACCAAGACGCTTCTCCGGCCCTCACGCGGTTGGTCTGAGTCCCATGTGTCTACACCGGGCTCGCCGGGGACAGCGGCGGAGACCCACCGGCCCCCTGGAAGGCCAGACAGTCACTTACGAAGGAGGAGAAGGACGGGAGGAGAATCCTGAGGACATTGCACCCAAACACGAAGCTGAGCACCAGCAGCCACGCCCAGCGGTCGACCTCCGCCGCGCTCATCCCGGAATCTCCTAGAGCTGCCGGCTCGGCTAAGGTAACTCCATGGGGACCACGCCGGCGCCCACGCCCTCGCGGGCGCCTGCGCAATGAAACGCAGCGACCTCTGAGGCGCGCCGCCGCGCCTGCGCACTGCGCCGCACTTGGCGGGGAGGCGGAGTCATCTTTTCTTCTTGGTCCCGGCGAACGCTTTGCAGCATGCTTCTTGGCCTTTCGGGCTTCCGTAGTTTTCCTGCACCCTCCCTACCGTGTCCTGGCTGCAGTTTTACCGGTTCTGGTGATTCGGCTGCTCCCGTCTCTAATTTTGTTGTCGCTGCGAACCATTTACGTAACGAGTACTTTCTTTAAATTGACACGCTTTTATTCCTAGATAAATTTATTTTAAAATAAGCCTTTCCGTAAATGGAAAACTATCGTAATTGTAGTAGAAAGTGACTAAAAAGAAAGGTTTCGTAGTTATATGTAAAATGCCTTGAGTTTACATTTCAAAACAAAACAATGAAATCTAAACAATTTACAAAGCTGCATACCTAAAAAATAAGTTTTAATCGGAAGATACTGCTTACAGTCAGCCCGTAATAACATTAAGTTTAGGTGAAGATGAGGTTTTACTGCAAAATAATCCCAATTCACATTTATATATGATAGGTAAAGCAAAAGATGTTTGGCTCACCCCTCTGCCAAGGTTGGGTTTTGAGAATTAACTCTAATCAAATGAATCAAGGAGCTGTGGTTCTACTGGCCTTGCAAAATAAACAAACCTTTTAGAATCTCTAAAAGTAAAGTTTTCTTCGAGCCCATGTTAGGACAGTTGTTTGGGAAACGTGCTCTTCACAGGGAAGAAACTGTTCGGAGAATAATCCGTTTTTACAAGGTTATACTTTTTTACATCTTGCACAAGCTCAAGAGGTTACAGATTAGCATATAAGAAGGAATCATGAGTTTCATCACAAAGGAATGCAGGGAGCAGGAGTCTTGATTGATATCTTAAGATGGTTTTCCTTCAGGCTACTCATCCCCAGATGTACAGTACATGGGTGGAGGGCCGTAAATCAGGCTTTTGGTTTGAACAAAGTTTATACACAGTCATGCTGACTGAGAAAGAAATCTAATAGCATCCCTTGTATATCAGACCTTTCGAGAGTTTTTCTCTCATTATTTCCCCCTTTTGATCAATAATCTTTCAACAGAAAGCATTGATCGTTATTTTCTCCCTTGATGCCAGGGTGATTGTTTATCTGCCCTGGGTCCATCATGTCCCTCAATGCTAGGCTCGATTTAAGTCACCTAGGAATCTATGTTGCAGGGGCCAACAGTATGTCCTTTAATAGGGAATATTACAATATATATACATAGATATATAGATATGTACACTTTTTTTAGTAAGATCCAGTTGTAGTGCAAACATTGTATGTGTGCTGCTTTTGCACTTTTGTAACATTTATAGCATAAACACAGAAATAGCAATAAAAATCCAATTAATAACACTTGAAGCAGGGGTGTCTGGATGGCTCAGATGGTTAAGCCTCAGACTCTTGATTTCAGCTCAGGTCATGGTCTTGCAAGTTTTTGAGCTCAAGCCCCACGTCAGGCTCTGTGCTGGCAGCATGGAACCTGCTTGAGATTCTCTCTCTCCCTCTCTCTCTGCTCCTCCCCCACTTGTGCTCTCTCTCTCAAAATAAATAAACTTAAAAAAAATTTTTAATAATATTTGAAGCAACCAATGGGGACTAGGTACAGAATTAGAAAGAAAAGAATAAAAAAAAATCCATTACAGGTACTTTGTAATTCTGAATTAATTTGAGTATCTATTTCCTTTGTCTATACTTATTTGTGCTTTGTGATATGTTTCGGCTGATTGGTTTAAAATGGTAAGTAAATTGTCTGTTATTATATGGAACAATTTCTCTGGCCAGTTAGTTTCCATAGATATTACATCTTGTGGTGATTGTAATGCTATCTTCCAAAACATTTCATCATCAATATCAATATTAGTTTAATTTTTGTTAGAAGCAGGCAATTCTATTTGAGATACAAGGTCAGTATTACCCTATATAGCAGTAGAGTTGTGATGAAAAGTACTCTGGTTACAAAACAGATCAAGGAGTATTACAGAGGTGTTTTGTAAACCTTCCCAACAAAATCTTCCTTTTCCCAGATGCCATATGTTAATTTGTAGAGGCATAACCATTATAGGCCAAGTTGGAGTGAATTCAGGGTTCTGTTGTTGTTTAGGACCTAACCATATATTTTTCCTGAATGCACAGATGTCAGTAGATGCTGGAATCCAAAAAGAATCATTGCCTAAGTAGTCACATCTTCCTCCAATGGGAGGAATTCTGGTGGTATTTACAATAGTTTCTATCCCTATGATGACATTGAAATTAGTTTAGTTGGCCATAAGTTTGGGTACCAATGCAATAATTGAACACTTATATAAATTACTGGAGTCTTTAATGATTTTCCAAAGATTAGGAGAGCTGTGCATTTTGGGTTTCTTTCAACAGTATTTAAAAATTTTTTTTTAACATTTATTTATTTTTGAGAGAGAGACAGACAGACAGAGTGTGAGCCAGGGAGGGGCAGAGAGAGAGGGAAACACAGAATCCAAAGTAGGCTCTAGGCTCCAAGCTGTTAGCACAGAGCCCGTGGGGCTCGAACCCGCAAACCATAAGATCATGACCTGAGCCGAAGTTGGATGCTTAACCAACTGAGCCACACAGGCGCCTTGAGTGGGCTTCTGCAATTAATAAAGAAGGCCATTGGGGCGCCTGGGTAGCTCAGTTGGTTAAATGTCTGACTTCAGCTCAGGTGATGATCTTGTGTTTATGGGTTCGAGTCCCGCATCCGGCTCTGTGCTGACAGCTCAGACTGGAGCCTGCTTCGGATTCTGTGTCTCCCTCTCTCTCTGCCCCTCCCCTGCTTGTGCATAAAACACTAAAAGGAAGGAAGGAAGGAAGGAAGGAAGGAAGGAAGGAAGGAAGGAAGGAAGGCAGGCAAGCCATTGACCCAGAGTTACCTCAGAGTCTTCTGGGTTATATGGCAAAGTTAGATTTAGGAGGTTACTGAACCCACCAAGTCACTCCCAAAGTAGCGTTTTTGATAGATGCCCATTGTTTTTTATTATTTTGTCTTAGGCCTCTCCATCCACAAAAACATGATTTCTTAGTACATTGGATATTTTGGCATGTTGGGCAAGCTGCAGCTAAGTTTTTCCCATTGTACTTGGGGATCTTTCTTAATAAGTTATCATCTAACTTTACAGAGAGTCAATGGTCAATCTGTCGAGTGTTGTATATAATGTAGGTTAAATCTGAGTTGGGTAGCACTTCTTGCAAAGCTTTTCCTAAAGAGGTACTTTATAAGCACCAGAAGCTAAAGCTAGAGTATGTACAAGAGGTCGTTAACATTTTATCTAAGTTCTCATCATAATAAAGTACTAGGGTAGTATTTGAAGTTATGTTAGTTAAATCAGTGGGTAACCATCATGTTTTATCAAGACGTAATAAAGGGGGAGGTGAAAGCAAACGAATAGGTTTACTATCTTCTAATATCACAATTTATTAAAAAAAAAAAAAGAGCTGGGGAACCTGGGTGGCTTAGTTGATTGTGTGTCCAACTCTTGATTTCAGCTCAGGTTATGATCCCAGAGTCGTGAGATTGAACCTCATGTCAGACTCTGTGCTGAGCATGGAGCCTGCTTGGGATTCTCTCTCCCTCTCTCTCTCTCTCTCTTTCTCTCTCTCTCTCTCTGCCCATCCACTCCTCATGTGCATGCACTCCCTCTCTAAAAAAAATTTTTTTTAATTATTTAAAAAATGAAGCCTAGAAATACAAGCCTGGTCCCAAATCTTGGGAAAGCAATCTACCCTGATGTTTTATCTACTTTTTATCCTCGTTGTAGCTCAAATGTCTCTGATGCTCTTTGAGTGACCTATTGAGCAATTAGGCACAAAGATTTTGTCTATTCATGAGCTGTTGCAGGGATTTCTTTGCATCGTTTATTTATTTATTTATTTTTTCAGTTTGCAGGACTTCAGGGAAAAGGACAGTTTTAGTTCTCAAATGATTCCACGTCAGAAAGATGGGAGAAAAATCAAAATGTTAGTTTGAAGAGTTTTGGCTGGGAATTGGCAGACACTAGAAAAAATCAGAATTGAGTCCAGTTTATAATGAATAGTATTAAAATCCAATATCTACAAAGATATGTTATTGAAATATTTTCTTTCTATAATTACTCTCGTTTTTCCCAAAGATAGCCAAATTAATACTAATTTGTTTGCAAAACAAGTCCAGTTTTAATAAACTTGGCCTAATTACTTACATAAGCAGAGCAAGAATAGTGATTGCCCATACAAGGTTTTTAAAATCTGCTTTGTTGGAACTTTTTTATAAGGAATTTTAGGTTGAACTTTTAATAGCGTTTCAAGGCCAGAAGCCAAACTAAATTCTTGCTCTCAGATTCGCCTGCAATACCTGTAGATTTGGGTGAATTCATCCTCTCGAGGTCCCCAAAATATTCTGAAGTTCCTGCACCTGCCAGGAAGTGACTTTCTTTACTCATCTGGTAAGGCTGCTGGAAACTCTGTAAGCAAGGTCTCAGGCCAATTTCCAAGGGGCGTTATGGCTCCATGCTTCATAAAATCAACCACAGTTCCTTAAAGCTGCCTGGTCATATCTGAGTCTATACATGTCTCTTTGAAATATGACATTCTAGTCAAAGCCTTCATAAAATAACCAACGTTTCTAATGGTGTCCTGTTCCAAGGAGAACAGATTTTTATTGAACTTATGCTAACAATTATAACTGCCAGGAAAGAAAGAAAACTCACTGAGAGTTTCTGGACTTTGGAGAGTTCAGGGAGAGAGAAACGATAAATGTTTTCAATTTGTTCACAAAGGTGTATTTTATCATATTTCTGTAAGTCATACATACCTTAAGAGAAAAGGCTTCCTTAAATCTGGAAGAGCAAATATTAGAGAACCAGTAATGTTTCAAAGAAGAGCCATAAAAACCATAATCATCTTCCTCAA